GGTTAGATTTATCTAGTTCTAAGAGGGGAAAGTTGAGGTCCCCCACTAGTATAGTTTTACTGTCCATTTCCTTTTGTAACTCACTTAACTTCTTCTTTAGAAATCAGCATGCTATACAATTTGATGTATATATATGTAGTAGTGGTATTGCTTCATTGTCTATGGTACCTTTTAGCAAGATGTAATTTCTTTCCTTATCTCTTTTAATTAAATCTATTTTTGCTTTTGCTTTGTCTGAGATTGCTATCCCTGCTTTTTTTTTCACTTCAGCTGAATTCTGCTCTAGCCTTTTACCTTTACTCTCTGCTTCAAATGTGTTTCTTGTAAACAACATATTGTAGAATTCTGTTTTTTAATGCACTCTGCTATCTGCTTCTGCTTTATGGGTAAGTTCATCCCATTCACATTCACAGTTATGATTACTAACTGTGTTTTCCTCTTCATCATCTTTTCCCCCTGTTGATACTTCTCTCTCTTCTTTCACCCTCTCCCTCCTCACCAGTGTTTTGCTTCAGACTGCTGCCTCCCTCAGTCTGCCCTCCCTTCTATCAGGCCCCTCCTTTTCTTGCCTACCACTCCTCCTACTTCCCTGTAGGGTAAGATAGATTTCTATAACTTGCTTAGTGTGGATGTTAGTCCCTCTTTGAGCCAGTTCTGATGAGAGTAAGGTTCAAGGGATGCTCACCCCCCTCCTTTCTCTCTCTCCACTGTAATAGGTCTTTCACGCCTCTCCATGTGAGATAATTTGCCCCATTCTATCTCTCCCTTCCCTTTTCTCCCAGTACAATCCTCTTTCTCACCCTTTAATTTTTTTATGCCATTCCATCAAAGTCAACATATACCTATACCCTCTGTCTATGTATACTCCTAACTGCCTTAATAGTGATACAGCTCTTAAGAGTTACCAGTCTCATCTTCCCATATAGGGATGTAAATAGATTAATCTTATTGAATAATTTATGTTTTCTCTTTCCTGATTACCTTTTTATGCTTCTCTTGAAAGTCATATTTAAAATCAAATTTTCTGTTTAGCTCTGGCCTTTTTATCAGGAATGTTTGAAAGTCTCCCATTTCATTGAATATCCATTTTCCCCCACTGTAGGATTATGATCAGTTTTGCTTGAAAGTTGATTCTTAGTTTAATCCCAACTCCTTTGTCTTCCAGAATATCATGTCCCAAGCCCTCTGATCCTTTCATGTAGAAACTGCTAAATCCTGTGTAATCCTAACTATGGCTCCTCAATATTTGAATTGTTCCTTTCTGGTTTCTCACAGTATTTTCTCGGAATTTTCCTTTGGGGATCTCTTTCAGGAGGTCAGTGGATTCTTTCAATTACTATTTTACCCTCTGGTTCTAGGATAGAGCAGTTTTTCTTAATAATTTCTTGAAAGATACTATCCAGTCTCATTTTTTTTATCATGGCTTTCAAATAGACCAATAATTCTTAAATTATCTCTCCTGGAAATATTTTCCAAATCAAGTGTCTTTCCAATGAGATATCCCACATTTTCTTTTATTTTTTCATTCTTTTGATTTCATTTCATTGATTCATGATGTCTTATGGAGTCATTAGCTTCCACTTGCCCAATTTTAATTTTTAAGGAATTATTTTCTTCAGTGAGCTTTTTCACCTTTTGAAAGAGTTGTTTTCTTTTGTGGATTTTTGTACATCTTTTTCCATTTTTTTATGCTTCTTTTACCAAGCTGTTGCCTCTTTTTTCAGGATTCTCTTGCATCACTCTCATTCCTTTTCCCAATTTTACTTCTATGTCTCTTATTTGGTTTTTAAAATGTTTTTTGAACTTTTCCAGAAGTTCTTTTTGAGCCTGAGACCAATTCATATTTCTCTTTGAGGCTTCATACGTAGGTTTTTTGACCTTGTCCTCTTCTGAGTTTGTGTTTTGATCTTCCCTGTCTTCTTAGTAGCTTTCTACGGGTCATGGATTTTTTTTGTTTGTTTTTTTGTTCATTTTCCAGCCTATTTTGTGACTTTTAAAGTTAAGCTCTGCTCATAGGGTATAGGGGACACAGTCCCAAGCTTCTTGAGCTGGGAGCCAGGGGCCTGACCACTGGCCTGCTGCACTAGGGTCTCAGGGCCTGGATGTTCACCTGGTATGCTAGGGCCTCTGGGGCTGGCAGATTTCTTGCCAGGGCCATGGGGCCTCTGTTGCTAATCTGTGCTGGGCTAGAGACCTCCCACTGGCTTTAAGTTATGTTGGTCTGGAAAATTATTTTACTCTGTCCCTTTGTAAGCTCTGCTGCCACACAATTCATTTTGAGATGAGATTTAAAGTTATTTGGAGAGGAATTTGGGGGAGGTCAGACAGGTTTTTGCCTTTTCTTTGTCATCTTGACACTATCTTGGACTATTGCTATAAACTGCTAATTCCCTCCCCCTCCAATCCATCCTCTACGTGGCTTCTAAAGTGACTTTATTTTTTGCTTGTTTGTTTTAAGTGATTTTCCTAAGATTCAAGTCTTACCCTATCACTCCCCTGATCAAAAAATTATAGTGGCTCCCTATTACTTCTAGGATCAGATATAAACCCATTTGACAGCCCTTCACAACGAGCCTTATTGCACATCACTCCTTTTCACTCACTCTAGTACAGACATACTGGCTTTCTTATGGTTCCTCATACCATATGCACTCCAGTATCCATCCCCATACCTTGGCCCTGACTATTCCCCATGTCTGAAATGGACTCTCCCCACTCCAATCACCTCTTTCTTCTTTATCTCTAGTTTCCTTCAAAGTTCAGCTCAAATGTTTCCTTCCACATGACCCCCCCCCCCCAAAAAAAACTGCTGGTTGCCTCCTCAAAAATTTCTTTTCTATCTATTTTCAATCTATCTATCTATATGTATACATTGTCTTCCCCAATAAAATATAAGCTCCCTGAGGGCAAGGCTATTTCACTTTTGTCTTTGTTTCCTAATCCATTAGATTGTGAACTTCAGGAGGTCTGGGTTTCTTTTTGTATCCCCAGCTAAGCGCAGTGCTTGGCTTATAATAGGTGCTTAATAAATACTTATTGACTGATGTGCTGGTAAGTGCTTGGCACATAATGGACATTTAATAAATGTTTGTTAATTGATTAACTAAGTGTTAGAAATACACTTGACACCAAAAATTTAGTATCAAGAAAGTTTATTGCAGAGACAGCCCAGAGGATTTAGACGTTTCTGGCCAGAAGCAAGCTCCACCCCTCTCCAGAAGGAAAGAGCCCCGAGTGTTAAGGTGCAAATACTTTTATATAGTTAAATTTGGCATGAAACCTCCCAGGCCTGGATTGGTCCAACCCTTCCCGGATTACACCTTTCCTTACATGTTTCCCCTTGATATGTTCAAATATGTTTCCCCTCCCTTGGTCATACATCCCATGACTCATTAATGAGGCTCTAATTTTATGTGGGGTGTGTCAGATAATAGTAAAGAAGTTCATTAAGCAGGCGCACTAACGTTTTTCAGGTGTCCTCAGGTTGACCCTAACTGGTCTGAGTTGGCTTGACCCTTATCTTGATTTTGGGGTCTTTTTGGAACCATCAACTTACTTCTTACTGGCTAAGCCTAAGCCCACCTACAGTGTACTACTTCCTGGAATCATCCTTCTTTAAATCTGTGCATTATTCTCTTTCTCTGTGGAAATTTAACCCTTACCTGACTCTCACATTAAGCATTTCTTTTTTTCTGTGTGGTAACTGAGTTAGTAAATCAGAGAAATATCATGGGCATAGAACATCTGGATTTCAGCAATGCTTTTGACAAAATCTCTCACAATATCCTTGTGGACAAAAATGGAAAGATATCTACTAGAGAATAGTATAATTAGATGTATTTGGTTGAACAACTGAACCAAAATAATGGAGTTTGTTGAGGAGAAGGGGTAACGTGCTTGGATCCATGCTTGTTTTACTTGGCCTCTATGTCCCCAAATGTGTCTTATCTAATTTATGCTGTGGCTATATCATGTCTTTTGTAAAAATCCCCTCTCTCCTCCATTCCATTTCAGTCCCATGTGTCTCGCATGACTTCCACCCTTTCCCACTTTTTCCCAGACTCATCTCTCCCTTTCACATTTATGTTCTACCTTTCACTCTTTTTTTCTTTTCTCTCCATCTCTTTTCATATACATGGATCATAGATACAATATTGAAAGGAGCTTCAAAGGTCATCCAGTCAAACCTCCTTTGAGGAAACAAGCCTGGTTCTGACCATGTCATCTCCCTACTCGGTAAAGTCCAGTGGCCCTCTAATGCCTGCAGGATCAAATATAAAATCCTCTCTTTGGCTTTTAAAGCCCTTCATAACCTGGCCCCTTCCTACCTTCCCAGTCTTCTTACACCTTATTCCCTTTCACATACTCTATAATCTAGTGACCCTGGCCTCCTTCCTGACTATTCCCCACATAAGACATTCCTTCTCATGTTCCATACATTTTCTCTGGCTGTCCCCCAGGACTGGAATTCTCCCCCCTCCTCATAGCCATCTCCTGGCTTCCTTCAAGTGTTGGCTCAAATAGGGCTTTCTTCAAGAGACTGCCCCCATCATGATTCTAGTGCCTCACCTTGAGGTTAGCAACCTTTTACACAGTACCTCTTGTATGTACACACATACACATTGTCTTTCCCACCAGAATATGAGCACCTTGAGGAAGACTGTTTTTGCCTCTCTTTTTTTTGCTTTCCTGAGCTTAGCACAGTACCTGGCACACAGTAAGCACTTAATAAATGCTTGTTGACTCACATGATTTGCTGAAGGTCACACAGGTGGTGAATGGCAAAATCGGGATTCAAATCCACATCATCTTACTCCAAAGCACCCATCCTACACGATGTTGGCATTTTCCCTCTTCTTTCCTTCTCTATGACCTTTGTCCTTTTCCCCTTTTCAACCCTTTATGTCCTTTTCTCTGTCTTTCTTCAGTATTTCCTTCTCCCTTCACCTCCTTTTCTTCCATCTATCACAATAACAGCCCCTCTTGTCCTCTCCCCTCAGCCCATTGACTATGAAGGTTTCAAGGTCTTCATGAGAACTTACCTGGAGGAGAACATCCCTGAGGACCTCTGTAAGCATCTTTTTCTGTCCTTTACATGCAAGAAACTGAAGCAGTCCTCTAAGCCAAAGACGAAGAGTTCCAGTGCTCCCCAAGACAACACTTATGGTAAATATCTTCAAAGGTCCCTGGTTCCTTGTTCCCATACCAGAGCCCAATGGAAGATGGCCCTAGCCACATCTCCCTCTTCCTGTGGCACAAAGCCCTGAGATGGCGCTCCTAGAGAAGAAAACATGGCCTTCAACACACCCTCCCTTCACCCAGAGTAGTGCTAGGGTGGGCAGCATATCTTTCAATGGCAGTAAGAATGACTTCTCCCTGCATGGTAGGTAAGTCAGTGTGGTCAGAGCAGATGGAGGCAGAAATAGGTCTGGAAAAGCCAGAAAGAGAGGGATCACTTAACAGCCTGGGCCTCTCCAAGCAAAGTAAGTTCTTCCAGGCAATCAACAAGTTAGAGTAAATTACAACAGCATACAAAACACTGAAAGAAACTAAGGGGGAGGTCCAAACACAGCCCCTGCCGTTCATGGAAAGACAAGGTCAACCTAAGCCCAAACGGCAGAGATATGTAAACACAGACACAATCCAACCAATCTGCCCAGACTCATCCACCTGGGATAAGTTTTTGTGAAGGTAGAGAATATAAGGGGATGGGCTTAGGGAAGGTTAGAGTGTGGTTATTGACCAGTTGAGGTCACTTTGACTTCTCAGTTTACTTCTTCCTTGCCAACTTACTCAAGACACCGAAAGGTACAGGTTTGTAGCAATAAAGGAGGCAGATTGTATTCAAAGACCTTTTTATCATCTGGTTGTTTAACAGAGGACAATACACCAGATAGAAGCATCTCCATTGAGACAGAAGAGGCCGTTGGCCCAGTCACAAGTAAGGCGCTACAGAGCATATCCTTGAAGTATAGCTAGAGATATACAAATAGGTATATAGGGTATCCCAAAAGTCTTAGTAAAGTTTTAAGCATTAAAACTTAATTAAGATTGTTAAAGCTTAAAATTGCATTAAGAATACATACATACATAATTGCAGAGAGAGAGGAGAGAGAGAGAAGAAAGAGAGAGAAAGAGAGATTAGTGCATGTATCGTGAAATCAATTAGCTGGGAAATAGTAAACTAAATTTGATTTCATCCTTATTTCCAATCAGTGGTACCTGATAATTGTAGCATTTGGGGGATTGGGCCTATGATTTCTTTGCTATAGGTGCCTCCCAAGTAAAGAAACCACATCAATCATTGCAGACCCCGACCTGTTCTGCAACTTCTATACTTAGAGTTCCCCTGGGTGTTGAGGAATGAAGTGACTTCCCAGGGTCACAGGGTAGAAGATAGCAAAAGCAGGACTTCACTCAGTTCTTCCTTATCATGAGGCCAGTTCCCTAACCACTAGGCAACACTGCTTCCCTCCACCAATATAAAGGAGTTAATTCGGCTTGCCCCACAAACTGTATGGGAGATGGGGAGAGGGGTTTCCTTAGAGCCCCTTTACTTGTTTATCATCTGTTCCAAGAGCACTTGACCATCCTCACATATATGTATCTTCTTCTATCCAAATTAAGGAAGCAGTATGGAATAATTGATAGCATATCAACTGACCCCAGAGTCAAGAAGACCTGAGTTCAAGTCCTTCTTCTGACATACACTGGCCTTGTGACCCTGGGAAAGTTATTTAACCTCTCCATATCCCCCAGACAATTCTCTAAGGATACTGGCTGCAGAACAGGTACAGACCGGTATTGGTGAAGGGAGTTTCTTCATTTGGGAGTTCCCTAAAGCAATGAAAGCACAGGTCTAGGGCCCCCAAACAAGTATTATAGGTTATAAATAGTGCTATTGCTATCTCTATAAATATTGCAATAGATTAAATAGATTTAGGTATGAATAGAGATATAGGTGTAGATATACAGATAAGGGGGCATTGCCTGTTTAACAGCAGGCTTTCCAAAAGCACGAGACACATTCTAAATTTAATATGCATTAGTAGTATTTTCTCCCTCACCTTAAGTCTAGACAATCAACAAAACAATGAATCAAGCCCTTATTTTTAGCTTTCACTGATTTTCTGAGGTGTAAATGCTCACACTAAAAATTTCACAATCAGTTCTCAAGAGGCAGTATAAGTTGGCTCCAGCATGCCCTTGAGTGTAGGTATAGATACAGATAAAGATGTAGGCATAGGTATAGATATGTATGTATCTGTATGATTCATACATACAAATCTGTGTAAGTATATGTGTGGAGTGGGTGTGCCATCAGCTCTCGCTTGGGATCTACTAGCTCCTTGTGGAAAGAGGGTATGTCTGATTTATCATGTACTTTTCCCCAGAACCTGGCATGGTACCCTGCACAAAGCAGGCACTTGATAAACACTTCCTGACTTCTCCGGGATACTCAGCAAATCCTTGGAGAATAACTGATCCTACTCCTTCCCTGGTGCAGATGTCAATGGGAAGCCAGAAGTCCATGGCCCCAGCACACCGGTTACCAAGTCTCAAGAGGCCATAGACATTGTGCCCAAAGAGGATGAGCAGACCATTTCCTTGCCTTCTGGACCCAAGAGCAATGCCACCAGCTTGGACAGAAGGACTCCGTCGCAGACCAAAACCGTATCTTTCTCTGTTGATAACTCCTTGCCCATTTTTCAGGCTCAGAGTGAGTATGTAGTGAATGTTATTTTTATTGTCGTCCTATTTCTTTGCAAGTAGGTTCTGGGTCCATTTGGAGCCTTTAGGCAGATTGACTGGAAGACAGAGGAAAGTCTCTGGCTCAGCCTGGGGGTCCAGTTTCACGGGCTCAGGAGGCTGATAGGACGAGGGCCCTGCCTCAGATTTTCAGCTGATTTGATTGCCTGTTTTTTGTCATTGTCCTGGGGAGTTATCCGCGGACCTGTCAAGCCCTCTGTTCCTGAGTCTTCCTTTATGCTCAGTGAAGAAAGAGCAGGATTAAGAATTCACTGTCATCTGAAAGCTTACCTGTAGGTAAAAGGCTAGAACACCGATCAAGGAAGAATTGGAACGGACCTTCAGGGAGACACTCTGGAGACCATCCCAAGGAGGATGGCTACATGGACAATAAAGGAGGGTCAAGTCTTGTATCAGATGGACCAGCCTGGAACCTTTTTCCAGAACCTGACTGGCTCTTGCTGGTACAGGCCCTGGGGTGGGGGGTGGGCAGCCTGGACCATCATTCTAGTCTCTGTTGGCCAGCTGCCATTTAATTAAGACAGCCACAGAAGTTGGCCCAAAAGCAAACGATCTTTCTCCAAAGTCACCAACTTCGGGCCATAAACCACATGAAGACCAAATGAAGGGATTGGCAATATTTAGCCAGGGTAAGGGAAGAGTCAGGGAGGATAGCATAGTCATATTAAGTATTCCAAGAGCTGTCATGTTGGGAAGGATCTGACGTCCCCCAGAGGGCAGTAGTGGGTGGTAATTATAGACGCAGATTGAGGCTTGAGATCAGAGAAAAGCTTCCTAACACCTGGAACTGTCCAAAGGTATAATGGTGAGTCTGTGAAGACAGAGTTTTCTCTCTCTAGAGACCATTCACTTTTCAAGGAGATCAGAGAATCCTAGCTGGTCTCAGCACCACAGAGAGAGAGAATAATTTTTAAGCTCTTAGCATAATGCCCGACGCATAATAAGTGCTATATAAACATACAAAATGCTATGATTCTTACTGTTATTATAATTATTATCATAGCCCTGCCTCTGATATATACAAACTGTCTAACTTTGGGCAAGTCACGTAACTTGTCACCGCTCCTGACAGCTAAAGCTATACATCACAGAGAAGGTGCTAACCTGCATTGGTAGAGGGAGTTTCCTCTTCCAGGAGTTCCTTATACCAATGACAGAGCCATCTCCAGTCCTCCAGTGGTTGAATATCTGGCCACTAGACCCAGATAACTCTGGAAGAGAAAGTGAGGCTGGTGACCTTATACAACCCTCCCTCACTCAAAGTCGATTGCAAGTCATGTCATCATCTCCATGATGTCATGGTCCTCTTTGAGAACAAAGGACAAATACAACAACGACAACAACAATCCCAATGACATCACAAGGCCAGTCCCTCCCCCCTATATTTTGTATAGACTTATATGAACAGGTGTCTCCCTTGATAGAATTTAAGGTTCTTGAAGGCAAGGGCTGGGTTATTTTATCTTTGTATCCCCAGCTCTTAACACCATAGCTAGAAGCAGAAGGTGCTTTTAAAAATGTTGCTGATTGACAGACTAATTGGTAGAATGCAAGCTACTTGAGGTCAGGGACTGTTTTATTCTTTATTTTTGTATCCCCATCACCTAGTACTGTGCCTAACATATAGTAGGTCTTTTACATATACTTGCTAATTGATTGATTAAGAGGAAGAAAGATTTGTAGTCTCTGAACTGCCCATGGGAGAGAAGCAGGGACCCCAAAGAATAGGTGGGGGTTGGTGACAGTCTTGGGGTGCACCCTTAGAAAGATGAGTAAGGGAAGACTCAGGTAGAGAAAGTTTGGGGTTTGGGTCTAAATCCTGGCCCCTTTCGTGCCTGGCCTGATTTCCTTATGGAATGCTACCCGGATGAATGGAGAAAGGATGATTTATTACAATGATGAAAGTTAGCAGACTGATTGCTTCTGCCCCTCCTGCTTATTAGCACACACAGAGGTGTGATAACAACCCAGAAGAGAGGGAGATTGCCCTCTAGGTGAGCTAATTCATGATTGGCTATGACTTTCTTGCCTACAGATGGTGATTTTTTTCTAGGGCCAAGTCATTGAAGAGGCCCTGGCTCAACTTGTCCTGGGAACCATAGGGAGCCCCAACAGTCAATCATCAGAAACAGTGGGAATACCACTTCTTGCAACTTTTGTTTGTGACTTTGGAGAAGGATCCTTTGCTCTTGGGCCAACTTCTGTGGATGTCTTAATTAAATGGCATCTGGTCAACAGAGACTAGAATGATGGTCCAGGCTGGCCCCCCCCCCCAGGAGGCAGGGCCTGTACCAGCAAGAGCCAGTCAGGTTCTGGAAAAAGGTTCCAGGCTGGTCCATCTGTTACAAGACTTGACCCTCCTTTATTGTCCATGTAGGAAGCCTGTTGTGGAAAGGTGACTGAAGGTTGGTGCCACTTGTCTGAACTGTATCTCATCAGTGACCAGACTTAAGGGTCATGAAACTCTACATGTGTTTAATTTCTTCGATTACTTCTTGTCATACATGCAGATATTCCCATGTATGTCACAAAGGATAGGATGCTCATGTCATCCAAACCTGGGCCTCTGAGCTCAGGGAAGTCTCCTATGAGATGACAGCTCGGGCATCTCCATTCACTCTTGTCTTAGAGCCAAAGGACTGAGTGAGATAATGGGGAGAGGAGGGACCCTCCCACCTCTGTGCTTTTGCATCCCCATACCTAGAATGTTTTCCCTCCTCACTTCTATTTTGTGGAATCCCTAGATATCTTCAATACTCAGCTCAATTACCACTCCCTAGATGAGACTTATCCTGATCCCTACAGTTTCCACCTCCTGCCAAGCTACTATGTAGTTTCTTTGTTGATATTTTGTATTTAGTTAGTTATGTATATTTCCCCCATAAGTTCCTAGAGGACAGGGAGGATTTTATGGATAACATTGGTTTTTATGTCACATACTTTTTCCAACGTATTTCCTTCTTTGCCCCCTCCCTGGTCCCCAAAAGCCATCCTTTATAAGAAAGATGGAAAAAGGAGGGGGAACAATGCAGCAAAAATAATCCACAGATCAAAAAAAATCTTACATAATGTATATTCCACATCCGTAGTCCCTCACTTCTGCAAAGAAGGAAAGAGTCTTCTCACATTTCTTCTTTGAGGCAATGCTTGTACTTTATCATTTTGTAGCATTAAGTGCCCATCATTTTATTCTCATTCTTTCCATTTCCTTTGCTGTAGTCATTGTGTACCTTCTTTTCCTGGTTCTACTTACTTGACTCCGCATCAGTTCATAGAAGTCTTCCCATACTTCTCTGTAGTGATTGTATTCACTGTTTCTTGCAGTGCAGTCATATTCCAGCTAGGTGGTGCAACGGATAGAGCACTGGGCCTGGGGTCAGGAAGTTGTTGTTGTTGTTGTTGGGCTATTTCAGTCATGTCTGACTCTTCATGACCCCATTTGGAGTTTTCTTAGCGGAAGTGCTGGAGTGGTTTGCCTTTTCCTTCTCCTGCTCATTTTTACCAATGAGGAACTGAGGCAAATAGTGTTAGGTGACTTGCCCAAGGTCACACAACTAGAGTCAGGAAGACCTGCATTCAAATCCAGTCCCAGAAACTTACCAGCTGTGTGACCCTGAGCAAGTCATTTAACCCTATTTGCCTCAGTTTCCTCATCCATAAAATGAGCTGGAGAAAGAAGTAGCAAACTCTCCAGTATCTTTGCCAAGAGAACCCCAAATGGGGTCATGAAGAGTTGGATATTACTGAAAAACAGCTGAATAGCAACAATAATAATATTCCATTACATTCACACGCCACAACTTGTTTGACCATTCCTCAATGGGTGGGTGCCTACTTTGTTTCCAGTTCTCTGCTACTACAAAAAGTATAATATAAATATTTTATATAAATTAATATATTTATAATATAAAAATTTTGGTGTTTATGGGCTATTTTTGGCATTGACCCTCTTGAGGTATATGCCTATCAAAAGAGTCCTGGAGTTGAAGGCACATATATTTTACTTAACTTATTTGTATAATTCCAAATTGTTCTCGAGATTAATGGGATCAATTGACGGCTCCACCAAGAATGCATTAGATTTTTCATCTTTCCACAACGTCTTTAACATGGATTATTCCTTTCTTTGAGCTGATACCATTTTGTATTTCTCTTTTTGTCTCCAGAACCTAACAGTGTCTGGCACATGGTAGAGTAGGTGCTTAATAAATGGTTGTTGAACAATTGATTGATCTGTGGAGAGACACTGCACGTAGTTGTAAAATTTAGCATCTTTGTGTATTTTAATCTAGGGCCAATGACTTTGATGAGACAAACACTGACAATATAAGGAAGCAAGACAGTCCTTGCCCTCGTAGAGTTCACTTTCTGATGGGGAGAAGACGATGCATAAGGAGGAGAAACTAGAAAGGCTGAGGGGAGGGAATAAGGCAAAAAGCCAGGGTGGTTCAAGGGGTGGAGGAGAGGCTTCTGGTGGGGAGGACACGAGGAGAATGGTCATTGTGAAGGCAGCATGAATTTGAGATGGCCAAGAAGTCATCTGAATAAAATCAAAGATTCTATTCGTGTGACAATGGGACCTCAGGTATATTGGGAGTCAGGAGGGGTGGTTAGTGATGGAGGATGAAACAACTACAGTGAAGACCATGTCTTGCTACATATTCAAGGAGTTGTGTCTGATCGACCTCTTGCCTCTCACAGGTTCAAAGAACTTACTGGAGATCGAAGCCCCGAAAGTCACAAAGAGCTCCACAAGCTCATTTCCTCAGGCATCGTTAGAAGTCATGCCTCAGGTCGTCTACCTGAAAGACATCATCTGTTACCTATCACTGTTGGAAAGAGGTCGGCCCCAAGACAAGCTGGAGTGTAAGTATTTGAATGCAAGACAACCAAGTTTCTCCTCCTGTCCTTCATTCCCCCTGCCCACTCCCGGCAGGCTTCAATGACCCAGAAGCCTCTAGGTATTTGGAAATTGCATTCCTTGCCCTTCTCTCCAGATGAGTAGGGGGCCACAGTTCCCTGCCCCCCCCCTTCACCTTCCCTGGTAGACTGTGACCATGAGAAGTTACCCAGCCTGTTTTGAGATGGTCCCTAGTTCTGCTCTCAAACCTGATCTGAGTGAGGTTTCCCAGAGGCAGCTCCATGGCCCAGGAAGTCATGTGATTGACAGGCTTAGGGAGAGCACCTGAAATCTGGATAGGGAAGCTGCATCATCTTTACCCATAGCTTGCTCAGGATGGAAGGAACCTACAGAAGTTGTCTCATCTTCCCTGATAACTACTAGTAGGACTCAGAGGTCGGCCATCCAGATTCCACAAATTGTTCTCCATTCCAAATTCAATGTCCTTTCAGCTCTTATCACAGTTAGAACAAGATTCTAACTAACAAAACAAGGTTCTTCATAATATCTAACCAAAGTCCATCTTGTTGCAATCCTATCCCATTTCTTTGGACCTCTCAGAAAATGGCTAATAACAGCTTATTTGATATCAATTGATCAATTATACATATATATGCACACACATATACATATATATACTTGTGTGTACATATATACATACATATCTATGTATGTATATGTGTGTGTGTGTGTGTGTGTGTGTATAGTGCTTTGCAAAGTTGAAGGTGTCACATAAAGGTTAGTAAGCTAGTAGTGGTCGTTATTAGTTTGGCGTGACTTCTCCAAAAACTGTGGAGGCAGATAGTGACATTTGGAGGCAGGAATTAAAATCATGGGAGGTAAAAAAAAAAAAGGACCTGGGCTTTCATTCTGGAACCTGTCACTCCTGTGATAAATTTTCTGACCTCTACAAGTCCAAAGACAACTTTGAAAATAGAGGAAATTAGAGATTTCACTAAAGATATTAGCATGGAGAGTAAAGAAAAAGAACATAAAATAAGTCATAGCTTCTATACAATCTATGCATTGTTAAGACCAAAGTCTAAATTCCAGCTAATGCTGAGATTAGCCAGATAATTTTAAGATTAGCAGGAGAGGCCTGGACAATGTTAAATCTTGCCAGGAATAATTAACAAGAGTTTTCAGTATCCAGACAAACTCAAAGGCTTTGAGCCCTGACCCCGTAAGAGACTGTTGGGTTGGGATCAACACTCATGTCCAGGAAGGCTGAGATGATGATGAGTGACTACAGGGTGTTGAATTTTATAGCCACAGCTTCATAAAACAGTGAGAAGTAGTGGAGAAGAAACGAAATTTATAGAAAGTTTAGTGAGAGACTCAAAGAATCCATATCATTTCAAGAGCATTCAGGGAGAAAGCTGAAAGAAGACTGTTTCAGTGTCCTCCAAGACTAAGAGATTTTCACAAGGAAGCAGATAAGCCAGTAAGACTCAGCACTAGACTTTTGTTATGGTATGTTTTGTTCACATCAGGGAAGGCTTTAAGACTAACTCAAAACAATGAGAAATCAGTGCCTTTCTCCTGACGTCAAGAAGATGCCAATGGAGCCCTGGAATTGTCCATTACCACTCATGACTAGCCCATCTCTTCCTATCGCATATTTCCCTAATGACATCTTCTATTTCTGTCCTTTGAAGTTGCTTACTGGTCCTCTCAATGATCCAGGAATTATAAATACAAAGACAACAAGGAAATCATCCCAGCCCTCAAGGAAATCCCCCACTATCACTTTTTTTAAAAAAAATTTAGTATTTTATTTTTCCCCAGTTACATGTAAAAAACAATTTTTGACATTCATTTTTAAAACTTTGAGTTCCAAATTCTCTTCCTTCCTTCCTCCCCACCCCCCTCCATTGAGAAACAAACAAATTGATATAGGTCATACATGTGTAGTCATGCAAACCACTTCCATAATAGTCATGTTGTGAAAGAAAACATACCAAAAAGAAAAAAAACCTCAAGAAAAATTTAAGTAAAAAAAAAAGCTTCAATCTGTATTCAGATACCAACAGTTTTTTGGTAATAGATAGCATTTTTCATCATAAGTCCTTCAGAATTGTCTTGGATCATTGTATTGCTGAGAATAGCTAGGTCATTCATAGCTGATCATCCCACAATATTGCTGTTACTTTGTACCCAGTACATTTCACTTTGCGTCACCTCCTATAAGGCTTTCCAGGTTTCTCGGAGAGCGTCCTGCTCATCATTTCCTGCAGTGCAATAGTATTCCATCATAGTCACATACCACAATTTGTCAAGCAATTCCCCATCTGATGGGCCCCACTATCACTTTTGCATTGAGGTTTATAAGTTCTCAAAAATGATCAGCTGTTAAGGGGATCTAGAGCTGGGAAGGTCCCTATGGACTATCTAGGCCAGCCTCTTCCATTTACAGGTGAGAAAACTGAAGCCCACAGAAGGAAGTGACTTATACAAGGTCACTTGACTTATACAAGTAGTAAGTGGCAAAGCTAATATTAGAACTCAGGTTTTCTGACTTAAAACCCACTACTCTTTCCATTACATCATACTTAGATCTTTTCAACATTTGCTAGGAAAACTTCCTCTTTGCTTGAATTTATCTCATAGACTTTCCCCATCCTAACCCCACCCCCATCTTTATTCTAGACAGCTCTTCTAATAGGTAACATTTAAATAACACTTTAAGGTTTGCATATGTGTGTGTGTGTATGTATACACATATATACATATGTATGTATACAAATACAAATATGTGTATATATACATATACATACACATAGAGAAAGAGTACATATATACATACACACATATGTGTCCTTGTATATATGTACATATATTATATATAATCATATATGATCTTTGTAACCACCCTGTCAGTAGGTGCTAATATTATCCCCATTTTTCAGATGATAAAACTGATGCTAAGCCAAATGACTTACTCATGGTAAGACAGCTAGTGAGTGTCCAATGTGGGTTTCAAATTCCGATCTACCTGTCACTATCCATTGCACCAAGTCATCAGGTTCAGGACAGTATATTGCTAGAAAATACGGTGTTATTCTTCTGATTATCTTCTGGTCTCACAGTTAGCAGAGGATTGCCTTGGAATTGTGTTTCAGAATTGGTGGGGAGCCCACAGCCTTCCAGCCACACGTGCTCACCAGGCTTTCTCATGATCAATGGTGCCTATTTGATGAAGTGTTCATGTAGGATTAAGGTGGAGGCTCTATGGAGACCTAGATCATGACCTTGGCCTCATTACTACAATGCTTTAACTGTGGATAACCGGCCACAGACATATTGTGATAGATCTAGAACCTGGGTTCCTGGGTCCCCACACTCATCCCCTTAAGGAAAGCTAAGCACTTTTCAGCACAAAAATGTTCTGAGCTTCCATGGATCCTGCCATATTTCTCATGCCTCACCTCACATCCTCTCATGTTTTTTTTACAGTCATGTTTCGCCTGTATGACATGGACTGCAATGGTTACCTGGATAGTAGTGTAAGTAGGTTTCCTTCTAAACATGTCTGCTATTCTCCAGGCACTGGCTGGAACCCCAAAGGTTCGTTTCAACTTGGTGGGGAACTAGAGAGTCCTGGGTAGGGCTACAGACAACCTAAGAGCCCCAGATCTGCTCCTTTCTAAGGGCCCTCATTGAGATTAATATCCAAAACTGTCCTGATGTTCTAGAATCTTAGGATTCCAGAACCCTAGCACTGGAAGAGAGCTTGTGAATTATCTAAATCCTAAGGGGAATCTCCCCTGTGGATCTCCAACTACTCCAGCGATGAGAATCTCACTTCCTCATGAAATGGAACATTCCATTTCTGGGCAGTCCTCATTGTTATAAATTTCTTCCTTACATCGGGCTAAACTCTAATTCCATATAACTTCCACCCACTGGTGCTGCTGCTGCTATCACAGGCCAAGCAGAATAAAGCTCCTTTTGACCATTAAGACATCTGAAGACCAAAACATCCCCATTTCCTCCAAGCTCTCATTCTGTGGCATGGTTTTCTAGCCAAGTAACCATCCTGGTCACCCTCCACTAGCTCTGCTCCAATTTGTCAACATCTTCTTCACAGACCTAGACCCAGCACTTCAGATGGGATCAGCTGGGTGCAGATCAGCTCTTCTCCCATGCCCAAAAGTGGGAGCAATTACATTTCTATTAAGACAGGCTCAGATGGGCTCAGCTTTCTTACCAGCTAAATTACCCTATTGGCTTATAGTGAGGTAGTGGTGGGATGAAACATTAAGATATTTTTCACAGAAACTACAGACAAAATGGCTTTCCCATATCCTATGATCATTGGTTTTTTTATTTTCTTCTATTCCTGTTGAATTTCATCTATGCTGGATTCCATTTCCAAGCTCATTTGGAATCATGTTCCTGACATCCATGTGTAACAAAAGGCGTCTTTCTACTATTCTACCTAATGAGGCATCTCAGATGTTGCCCCTTAAATACCTACCTCATGCCAAAGGCCTTGCTATAGCAAGTATGTGCAATGAAGTCTCCAGGATGCTCTGATCCATTTGGTGCTCTGTAATTAATGAGATTATAGGGAGGGGGTGGGAGCTTCACTTGGTACCAAAAAATCTGAAGCATCTGGTGCTAATATTTATTAACCCATTGCGAAAAGACTATCAGGGATCCTTGGCATCTAATGGGCAAAATAGGGTCACCACAGTAGTCCTCCTACTATCATCAAAACATGTATCTAGAAATACAAGGAGACCTACAAGTTATCTGGTCCCACCCCCCTCATTTTCCAGATGAGGAAATCAATGGCCAAAGGTAAAATGACTTGCCCAAGATCATACGGATAGTACATAGGCAATCCTGTGTTTTTGGTTGTTGAAGAAGTAGAGGAGATGATCTCATCTTGGTATACTTAGAATGAGAAGAGGTAAAGGTAGGTATGAGAGGAGGTAGAAGGAAAGAAGATTGCTCTGTAGGGGAGAAAAGTCAATGTTTCGGTGTTTTCTACACAGAAGTAGTATATGCATCTCTCATTGCTGTCACCATGTAAGAATCCACCAATGTGGAGCAGCATGTAGGATCAGAGGACCTCTGGATCTTAGCTCTACCATTTAACATCTGTGTGACTCTTGGCAAGTTAATTAATGTCTCTGGCCTCAGTTTCCCCTTCTCTAAAATGAGAGGGTAAGACCGGGTGGCTTCTAAGGTCCCTTCCAGGCCCAAATCTTTGATCCTATGACTAGACGGTCTGTTTCTAAGGTCACTTCCATCTTTGAGCCTATGTTCCTAAGATGATCTTGACCCTGAATTTAGGGCAAAAATAAGGGAAATGGTGAATAGACTGATTCCAAGTTGTTGGTGCCAGTCTTAATGAAAATTCAATGCAGGACCATAGCATCAGAGAGTCTGAGCAAGAACGGACCTCACTGAGCGCAACCCTCAATTTACAGATGACAAAACTGAGACCCAGAGAAGTTAAATGACTTGTCCAGGATCACACAGCTAATAAGTGTCTGAGGTGGGATTCATCCCTGTGTTTCACCACAGAAAATATGCCACCCCCACTACCCCCTCCTCTCACTCTTTACTCATCCCATCTTCCTGGTTCTGTCTTCTTTCTTGTCATTTTCTCTTAGGAGCTGGATCGAATCCTCACCCAGATGGTGCATGTGGCTGAATATCTGGAATGGGATTGCACAGAGCTCAGGCCTGTAAGTGATGGGCCCTGATGATCAGCCTGGAGACATCAAAAATACTCCTCCCCACGTTAGCCGTGGGGCAATGATTTTTCCAGCTCCCGGAGAATCTAGATTACCTTCTGCTCCTTCATAGACTAGGGTTAGAGTCAGGGATAGAGGTGAAGACTAGACTTGTGATTTCACTGATACAGAAAACTCCCAGATGAGGAAATGCCCTCCATGAATACTGATTGTCACCTTCTCTGTGATTTGGTCTACTCCAAAAAGGGTCCTATTCTGTGTCAGTGGGAGAGAAGACTCAGATAGTCTGTGAACTAGTCCACTAGTGTTATTAAGTACCTACTATGTACCAGACACCTTGCTAAGCGATGTCGATAAAAAGAAAGGCAAAAACCAGTCTCTGACCTCAAGTAGCCAATTTTAAGTGTTGGGATTCTTACAGAAAGTAAGGCTTTAGCTAACACTGATGGGAAGCCGGGGAAGCCAGGAAGTGGAGATGAGGAGGGAGGATGTGTATTCCCTGCAGGAGGGGCAGTCAGAGAGAACTCCCCAAGTCCTGAAATGGAGTGTCTTGTGTATAACAGCCAGGAGGCCGGTGTCACTCCGGGGCACAGTACGTGGAGAAGAGTCAAATGTAAGAAAACTCATACCCACAAATCACAGAACCATCGCACTGAAGTGAAGGAGACCTAAACAGTAACTCCTCGAGAAATTGTTTTTAACTCTCGTTTTCAGAAACAATTCAGCTGGTCTGTTACTAGTAATTGCCATTGGACCAGCATCTAAATACTCTGTTCTCCTTCTATGCTTTTCCACTGGCCTCTCCTTTCAGGGCAAAATCTGTTTTGCTCAGTTCTGTTTTGCCCTGACTTCCCCAGCACTTGGATCAAGGCCATCCACACAGTGGGCACTTAAGAGATTTGTGTTGACCCGAACTGAGTTGAACCAAGGCCCCAGTTCTCTGGTAGGGATGTCACTGTCGACAAGATGAAAGAGTTGTCACGCCATTGAGCATTTGTGTTCTTGGGAAGGATTAAACACAAGAGTCATCCAATTATCTGAAGAAAGGAAAATATGAGTATTGGAACATCAGTGATGATAGGATCATAGATTTTCCGTTGTTGTTCAGTCGTTTTTCAGTCATGTGTGACTCTCTGTGACCCCATTTGGGATTTTCTTGGCACAGAACTGGAGTGGTTTGCCATTTCCTTTTCTAGCTCATTTTACAGATGAGGAAGCTGAGGCAAAAAGGGGCTTGCCCAGGATCAAACAGCTAGGAAGTGTCTGAGGCCATATTTGAACTCAGGAAAATGAGTCTTCCTGACTCCAGTCCTAGTGCTCTAACCATCGTACCCCACCTAGCTGCCCTTTAGTTCAACCCCTCCAACCCTACCCCTTCTCTAATTCTACAGAAGAGGAAATTGAGGCTTGTAGAGGTTAAACGACTCAGGATCATAGAACTGAATCTGGAAGGGGCCTCAGAAGTCACCAACTCCAATCCCCTCCTTTTAAAGATGAGAAAATAGAGGTCAAGGGAAATTACGTGACTTTGACTAAGGTGACCCAGGTAGAAAATACAAAAGGTGAGATTTTAATCTAGATCCTTTCACTCCAGAGCCAGTAGCCTTTCCATTGTACCACTCCCAGGAAAAAAATGCCATTCCAGACTGGTATGTTGGTCAGACCAATTTTTAAAAATTTTTTTGATACTTTCAGTTTTTATACGACCTTCATTTCTGAATATATTCTTCCCTTGTCTCTTCTCCAGAGAACCATCCCTTGAAACAAAAAAAATTTTAAAAATAAATAAATAAATAAAAGGGGTAAAATAATTTAGCAAAATGACCCAACAGATCCATTGAGTATGACTGTATATGCAGTATTCCGTACCACTCACCTCGCCAAGTGGCAGGAGGGAGAGGTATATTCTCATCTCTTTGAGCAGACTAATTTTGGGATCATGTTTATTACACCTTCTCTACAAGGTCAGGAGCCTGATAAGATTCCTACATTCTCATTTGTGACTGTCTAGTTTCACAGAGTCCTCAGTGATGTTTCAATGAATGAAATTCATTGTTGTGTCATACTATGAAAAATGGATCCTGCAGGGAGAGAATGACTGAACAAGGGGACCTTCTATTTAGGAAGCAAGAATGCTCTTTGTGAGCCGGAGAGAATCCATTGAAAGTAGGTCAGCAGGACCAACTCCTGTCCTAGTGGGTAAAAGAGGGATAGATCAAGACCAAGAGGAGTCTCCTGAAGGAAGTGGTAGGGAGAATGGAGGGGAAGGACAGTGAAGAGGGCCAAGACAAGGCAGAGGAAGGGAGTTGATTTCCACCCACTCCATGCTCTTTCCTTTGCTTCCTGGCAGATCTTGAAGGAAATGATGGAAGAGATTGATATTGACCATGATGGGATGGTGACCCTAGAAGAGTGGATTCAGGGAGGGATGACGACCATTCCATTACTGGTCCTACTAGGGATGGAAACAGTAAGTAACAAAGCCAGCTGCAGTTCATTAGGTTGGTGTACAGAGAACACTTCCTCGTGGATACCATGGCAGCCAAATCTTGTCCTGTGCTCTGAGTGAGGCTGCCTTCCTCTTGCTTAACTGAATCTCAGAATCATAAGATGAAAGGGAAATTGTCATTTCCCTTCTCATGATCATTATTGTTTCCCTTTCATCTTATGATTCCAAACTTAGAGTTTAATTCCTATATTTTCCAGATGAGGAAATTAAGTTTAAAGAGGTAAAGGGACTTTCCTAAGGTCATACAGCTAATTAGTAGCAGAAAGAGCCTGTATTCTTTCCATTTGGACTGCCAACATCATATTCTTGAATGGAGTGAACTTCAGACCCAAAGGTGCCATCCTGCCTAGATGCGACCCCTTCATAGCCTGTGTTTTCTCTAAGGCTAAGGGTGAGAGCTGGCTTTTTTCAAAATCACAACAGACCAATTTCTTTTTCCCTAGTTAACCCTTTAATCTCCATTGGGAACAGACTTTTGTCAACTGAGGGGATCTATAGCTCTGATCCCCTCATGATCAGGGAAACTCAGGACAGTCTTATAGAAAGTTCCTGAATCACTTTACCTGGACAAGCCATCCTCCAAATAGCAAGGGAGAAAAATGACCATCCAGTTTATTACACTGATAAAATTGGCATACCTCTTTATGAAGCTAAATTAAGTAAGGTGTTTACAGTACTTTTTTTAAAGAGGCGTATTTTGGGAGAAAATATCACATTTTGGACTAGCAATCCTACTGCTTTACTTTAAGACTTTAAAAAAACCCAAGATGATGTGGTTTAGTGGAAATGGTGATGATTTGGAGTCAGAGAATCCAAACTCAATTTTCACTGTTACTATATCAATGCCTTGTGTCACCTTGGCCATGTCGATTCATTTCTCTGGGTCTCACTTTCCTTATCGGTTACATGAGGGGGGTGGACTGAATGACCTCGGAGGTTCCTTCCTGCTCTAAATCTATGATTCTATAATCCTTCTTCAATGTATCAATAGATCGGTGATTTCATTGATACAGGGTATTACCCCACAACCCCAGTCCAGATCTCAACCTAGCCACATCTTCTCAACTTGCACAATTCCTGTCCCATGAAGCTTCCATGGCTCCAGAACCAGGGAACCTGGATTCCAGATCCACCTCTGCTAATGTGACCAGAGGTCAATCACCTCACCGCCATGGGTCTCAGTTTCTTCATCTGTAAAATGAGGATTTTGGACTAGATGGTCTCTGAGGTCCCTTCCATCTCTGTAGATTCTATGACCTTGATTTTTGTGTTTTATCTTAGAAACGAAAGGTTACTCTGAAATATTTTTTCTAACTGGGGAAAGGACACATTCTGTCAAATGAGGTTGCATTAGCTTGCTGATGAGGTCCCATTCTGCCCGAGAGTTGTGGTTCTTTGATCCTATGATCTGTCCAACTCTCTGGAAGGGTTCTTTGAGGTCTTTTAGCATCCTCTGGGTACCATGGTAACACTAGGCTTATTCATCTGTTACCTTGCAACAGGACTACATTTTCTCATCATAAATGTCCCTGGACAATATATCACACACAAAAAATATATATATTATAGATATAAAAATAAATATAAATAAATAAATAAAAATATGTAAAATATATGGCTATAGTTTCACAAATAAGAAAATTATCAGTTACTAAGCAAATTCAGTTCCTTATACGTTCTGGGCATGCTTGAATAGAACCCATGCTAGAGTCTTATGATTCTTCAAAGAGAGACATGTGAATGAAGCCTGAAAAATGGAAATCAGGGAAGAGGAGAAATCCACTAGCCCCAAGATGGCACCGCAGCCTAATAAAATTGGAAGAAGTGTTACTTCTTCCTATTCTAGATCGTGTTTACTTTCTTCTCCTTCTTCTTTAAGGAAATTACGGATATGTATGGAAAGGAAAACACATAGTGAGTAATGATTGGTTTGAGTAAACCCAAGTGTTATTCAATGGTAGGGCACTAGGTGGCACCATAGTGTATTGAGAGGCCAGACCTGGAGTCAGAAAAACAACTCTTCCTAAATTAAAATCTGGCCTCAGACCTAACCATGTGACCCTAGGCAAGTTACTTCACCCTGTTTGCCTCAGTTTCCTCATCTGTAAAATGAGCTGGAGAAGGAAATGGCAATCCACTCCAGTATCTTTGCCAAGAAAATTCCAAAAGGCATCACGAAGATTTGGACAGGACTGAAACAACTGAACGACAAATTCAGCAGATGTTCTGGGCAACCATCTATCCTGCTAAGCCTGCAGATGATCCCATGCCATATAACTTCCCAGGAACATAAAGACTGAAAAACCACAGGGAAACAGAAGTGACTTTTGGAAAGAGAGATAATAGTTATCTCTTCTTCCACATATTTTCTTAGAGCACTTTGTCTGGTTTTCCTCTTTGCACCTGCAGCTTATTACAATGTCACCCAATAGAATAGAAGCTCCTTGAGGGCAGAGACATAGGTTTTTGTTGTTATATCCCCTGAAGGGAGCCAAAAAGGGCAAAATTAGGTGGTAATGATCCTCTTCAAATTTAATTAGGTTAGCCTTCAGACTAAAATAGATGGAAGCTATCAGACCCCAGTTCATAGTCTTTTTTTCTGCTCGATAGAGCCTGTGTTCTGAGGGTAGAGTCTTTGAGAACCCAGGATCATCTCTACAAGGAGGCATCTAAGCACTGTTTTAATCAGTCAATAAACAAATACTTATTAAGTGCCTGTTGTGAGCCGGGAACTGGAGATACAAAGATCTGCCCTCTCCCCAAAGTGGAACAATCCTTGTGTAACATTAAAAACTGCTGCTGGGTCCAAGGCACTCTGGCATCGAACCCACTCCCTTTCTCTAAGGAATCCCTTTGCTCTGCACACATACGTGTTGGAGCCTGACCCCTATTGACAGGAATTAAGCTCTCTTTTTTCATTCTTCAGTTGGCTAAGTACCCTGGCCCAAACTGAATCATTTGAGGACAAATTACCCAAAGCTTAGGTTTTAGTTCATGTTTAGTGCTTCCCCAAAGGAGAGGAGTTAAAAAGATAACCAATGTGTAATATGAATCAAGTATGGGACAGGTATTTATTTCCTTTGCACAAAAGAATTGCTAAAGGACAAAAAAGACTCACAGCTTACATTGAGAGAATGACTTAAAATAGTATACAATAGCTTAACTTGTAATAGTTGCTACACTCAGCTGGAGGTTGATAATTAACCCTCCTCAGAACATAAAGCAGTTTGCAGGGCAGCCAAATGGGTATTCCACATTTCACTCTGGGTCTGCACTGTCCAAACAATTCCTGTTCCACATCTTCTGGCAAAGTCTTGGGCTCAGCCATCTGTTTTGGGTCACCCTCTCCAAGAGTCCCACAGTCATGCTGGGGATTCCTCCCCAGGCCACCAACCAAAAAGACCCAGAGACCTGAGAATGCTGCACCGTACAAGATTGCCCCTAAGTCTGTCTCAGAAATAGGTACTGAGTCGCCTAAGATGAGGAAAGAGGCAACGCAAAGGGGACAGCCCCCAAAACCAGGTTTGACCTCACCTCAGCAGGACCGATGTTTTATCTGCCAACGGAAGGAACCAGGGCAATCCAGCCTTCCCCTAGATCGCGTGGGAAATGCCCAGACAGAATCCACAACCAGAAGGGAAGGGAGCACCAGGGCTAGGGTCACTCCCTTTTAAGCATCCTCTTTGTCACCAGCTGTTCCTGCTCAGTGGTCAATAAGGGCATTGCCAGATGCTCTCAAAGCACCATGCCCTGAGTCACCCCCGCATGGCAGCGGCCTTGCTTATGTTTAGAGATCCCCTAGTTACACCCATTTTAGTCAAGAAGGAAGAAAATCATTTTAGAAAGAACTACCTGTATCAATTTGTAGTTATGTATTTTATAGGGAAAAACCTGGAAACAAACTAAATTCCCAACAGTGGAGACCATTGACTAAAGAGACTGTTTGCCGGAGACCAAAGCAACAGCTATGGCCATAAAGAATAACAAATATGGAGAAGAGGCATAAATGTAGGCTTGATTCAGAGTGCCAGAAGCAGCCTTCACTGGGAACCAATCTGCAACTCCAGAAATATATACAGGACTGTGTATATATATGGACATCACCCTCATGATGCCATTGACCCTCTTCGAAAGTGAAGGACAAACAATAACATATATATGCATGTGTATCTGCATTTACGTGTATACATAAACATATACACATATGCACACGTGTATACATGTTATACATATATGCATAGATACAGATACAGACGTAGATACATATCAAAGTCTCTGTGTCAGAGGTCATTGGTATGCATGCAGCATGGGCTTCCCAGGAGTGAGCTGGCCTGCTGTATATACCTGCCTATGTTAGAAGTTCCTTCTGTCGTCATTCAGTCATTTATAGTCGTGTCCAACTCTCCCTGACCCCATTTGGGCTTTTCTTGGCAGAGTTACTGGAGTGGTTAGTCATTTTCTTCTCCAGCTCATTTTACAGGTGAGGAGACTGAGGCCAATAAAGTGAAGTGACTTGCCCAGGGTCACACAACTAGTAAGTGTCTGAGGCCAGATTTGGACTCAGGAAGATGAGTCTTCCTGACTCCAGACCTGGTACTCTATCCACTGCACTACCTAGCTGCCTCTGTTCTAACCACATGGAAAGCCTGGATACAAGTAACGTAGCATACTGAATAGAACTTGGGGTCAGGAAGAGCTGGGTTCAAACCCTACTTCTGATACTTACTAGCTCTCTGACTCTGGACAAGTCATTCAATAATAGTTAATAGCCTACAGTTATTTAACACTTACTATGTGTCAGGCACTGTGCTAAGCACTTTACAATTATTATCTCATTTTATTCTCCCAACAACCCTGGGAGGCAGGTGCTATTATTGTCCCCATTTTACAGATGATGAAACTGAGATCTCCCTGAAGCCCAGTTTCCTCATCTATAAAACGAGGGGCTTTGGATTAGATGA